CGCCAACATGCAGTACCGCGGCGTGCTGGGCACCATCCTGACCATGGTGCGCACCGAGGGTCCCCGCAGCCTCTACAATGGGCTGGTCGCTGGCCTGCAGCGCCAGATGAGCTTCGCTTCTGTCCGCATCGGCCTTTACGACTCTGTCAAGCAGTTCTACACCAAAGGATCTGAGCGTGAGTATGGAGCTGGACCATAGGCTCCTTGGCCTGTTCGACTTGCTGGTAGTTGATCGTAGTTCATTGCACTGCATAGCTCCTTTAGACCCTAAGATCCCTAGGAGGATCAGAGGAACAGGAAAATGGAAAGGCCCTGATTTTCCTAATGATTCCTGAGCTCTAGGGCTGTGCCCGGCTCTGAGCAGGACGTTCTCCCATGACAGTCCTCACAACCATCTTGACAGCAGGTAGTATCATCCACCTTTTAACAGATGAAGAGGGACTGAGGCTTGCCGGAGGGAAAGGACTTGGCTAAGGACACACAGTAGGATGCCAGAAAACACACCCAGGACTTAAGCTTCCAAGGCCCCCATTCTTCCATTCCATCTCGTTAGCGTGGCCTCTGTTTTACACATGTGGAAACTGAGAGCCCATATAAAAAAGTTGACTTTTCCCAAGATCACGTGGCAGGGAGAAGTAGGTCTGGGATGAGAACCCAAGTCTTATGTGTCCCAGTCCTTGGGAAAGCCACTTCGCTCAGAGCCTTGGTTTTCATATTTGTCAAATGGAAATGATTCTCTTTTCTCATGGCTGTTGAGCAGGTTAACTGAAGTGAATGAAAATATTTTATGAAAGAAAGCACTAAGTCTCATTTTGTCCTACTCCTTGCTGTGTCCCAGTGCCTAGCAAGGAACAGACATAGTAATATTTTGTTTGATGTAAGGAATTCTTAGAGCAAGAGCTGGTCTGGAGCCTGTTCCCAAAAGGCAAGAGATTACAGTCACATGGTATATTTTCTAAGGAGAAGTGGAAAGTGAGTGCAAGCCCACTGGCTACTGACTGCCGTGGTTCTCCCACAGATGCCGGCATCGGAAGCCGCCTTCTGGCAGGCAGCACCACAGGTGCCTTGGCTGTGGCCGTGGCCCAACCCACAGATGTGGTAAAGGTTCGGTTCCAGGCTCAAGCCCGGGCTGGAGGTGGCCAGAGATACCAAAGCACTGTTAATGCTTACAAGACCATTGCCCGACAGGAAGGGTTCCGGGGACTCTGGAAAGGTGTGTATCAGTGTATCTTCTTCCCCTTCTTCCTCCTTCCCTAGTCCCTTGTCTCACATAAGCACCCCTTTCTTATGTAGGGACCTCTCCCAACATTGCTCGTAATGCTATTGTCAACTGTGCTGAGCTGGTGACCTACGACCTCATCAAGGATGCCCTCCTGAAGGCCAACCTCATGACAGGTGAGTTTAGGGTAAAGGGTGCTGGGTCCTGCCCTTCCCCAACCTAGGATCAGGTGTGGGAATCTGGTTGCCTGAGGACCACACCTTTTCATCCTGTTTCCGCTCTGCTTGTGGAGGGAGTTAGTTTCTTTCTCACTCACCATATTGAAGCCAACTGGGATGAAGCTCCCATTCTGCACACGGAGGCGCTGAGGCGAGGCAGACAAAATGATTCTTAGGTCCTCAGGAGAGGTCCCAGCTGGAGTCTGTCTCTCTAAGACCACACGACTCCAGTTACTTAAATAATCTCTTTCCTTCTGGAATGATGGGGTAAGGAGTCCTGACTCTCGCCTGTTCTTCCTCCTTGGCAGATGACCTCCCTTGCCACTTCACTTCCGCCTTCGGGGCAGGCTTCTGCACCACCATCATTGCCTCCCCTGTCGACGTAGTCAAGACGAGATATATGAACTCTGCCTTGGGCCAGTACAGCAGCGCTGGCCACTGTGCCCTCACCATGTTCCAGAAGGAGGGTCCCCGAGCCTTCTACAAAGGGTGAGCCCCTGATCCACCCCACCCACTTCCAGGCCTCCTATCACACAGGTGGGAGAGAACACCTGGAACTGAGGAGTCAGACTATTTCTGATCATGGTCCTGGGATTTCACCAGCATTCTCTCATGCTTTTAACTCCCTCCTCGCAGAGTTGTTACCTACTGGATGGGATTCTTGGCTCACAGCCACACAGCTGTGAGGCTGTGGTCCCTGGGCCCTCCTAATTTCATTTGGAACAGAGCAACAGGGTTGGATTGGATGCCAGGACCCAGCGGGGTGAATGAGAGGTGGAGGTGCCCTCTGTGACCTGTGTTTTCTCCTCTCTAGGTTCATGCCCTCCTTTCTCCGTTTGGGTTCCTGGAACGTGGTGATGTTCGTCACCTATGAGCAGCTGAAACGGGCTCTCATGGCTGCCCGCACCTCTCGCGAGGCTCCTGTTTGAGCCTCTCCTGCTGCCTACCTGACCACCTCTGGCTTGGCTTTGGCTCCAGCCAGACCCTGCTTCCTCCTACCCCCTCCCTCCCTTCCCCTCTCTCTCCCCCAACCCCTTCTTTCTACTCCGATTTCCACCGCCTCCCTCCCGTCTCCCCACATTCTCACCCCACCTCCCTACCTCATCTCCCCACTGCCTCACAGTCCTGGAGAAGATGACCCCAGTTGACGCTGGGAGGCCTGTCACCAGCCAGGATCCCAAGCCCTCAGTCCCTTGAAAAGTTCAGCCCAACTCTTCATCCTGTCCCCAAGCCTACTCCGCCTGGCACATCACCCATAAAACAAGCTCAACCTTGGTGTCTCCTCCCTCTCTTACAGCTGTTACCAGAGGTCTTACTTAGTCTGATGGGCCCTTTTGACACCTAGTGGGCTGGGGAGGAGCCACCTGACTTGGAAAGTGGGGCGTGACCCACCTTCCATCTCCAGGGTCCAACCTGAGGCCTGCGGAGATCATCTAGTCCATTTCTGTTTACAAACCAGGCCCAGGGCTGAGGTGGCAAGTGAAGGAGCAGCCCAGAGTACACCAATACCTGCCTTTCCCACCCCCCAGACACCCCCAGGCCTGTTTATCTGCAAAATGAGTGTTCCTGTCTCCCTGCATCTCCTGGGCTTCTTGGAAGATTTAGAAGAACTTGGGAATCTTAGATGCTATGGGCTTGTTTTATTCCATTTTACAAAAGGGAAACCTACCTCCCCAAAGCCCCAGACCTGGTGAGGGCATCTGCCTGCCTCCCACCCTTAGGAGGTAGTGTTGCTGCTTGGGCGGGCGGGCTGCAGGGCAAACATCTGGCCTTGGCCTGAGTGTACTTTTCACTTGAAGTCTGACCCTCTTCCAGAGCTAGAGATCCCCGGGAGGTGACCCGCCAAGGCTTAGGCTGCATAGGGCTATCTGTCTCCCTGTCCCTCCTCTTACCACCGGTCCTCAGAGGCAGGAAAGCAGGTGGGCAGGGCTACTTCTGTTTCAAGGGGTCAAGAACTCAGGTCCCAGAATCCCAGTGTGCCCAGTGCAGTTCTGGGCCCTTAGCATTAAGCCATCCAGGCCCTTATCTGAAGAAGCCTAGACGGGTCATACAGGCAAGGTCACAGGATGTCAGCAACTTGAGCTGGGACTCAGACTCCTCCCTTCCCCTGTGGTCTCTTCCCCCAGGGACCAGTGTTGGGGTCCTTCAGGAATCCTGTTGGGCAGCTATGGAGCCAGACCAAGAGAACATGACCTCCCTCTCCCCACAGCCTAAAGCAGCTGACGCTACTGCTGCTTCCCCATTGGTCAGAGCTGGAGGCTAGGCCTTTCAGTGCCTGGGCAAGGGGTCTGGGATATTTGACATGTTCCTGGGGAGGGCACGAGGACCCAGCTTCTGCCAAATTGAGCTGATGGTACCCAAACCCCAAGGACAGTTGGGTGCCATCAGTTGATCCTGGGTGAAGGTGGCGGGCAGCTCAGCCTGGCTGTTCTCTGCTGGGCTGCAGGGAGTCAACATAAATGGAGGGCCCAGCCACTGTGCCTCATGCACCTCAATTCCACGTTAATCCTGTGAAGCAGGCTATTCACTGTTTTGCACCAGAGGAAATATAATTTATCAGCCTAGGTATGGCAGCTGGCTTATTCACAAACCCTGTGTTCCAGACACTGGGATGGACACAAATCCACTTGGCTTCATGGTTCTGAGCATGATCCTGGGACAATGAGCTGGGAAAGGTGGTAGGAACCACTGGATACCATACTAGTAAACCTTAGTAACGTCCTTGATGCCTGTAAAACATGCATGTGATAAGCCCTGCTTTGCCTGCCTCAAGGTAGCACTGAAGATCACTGCTGCAATAGATTTCATCAAGGGCTAGTTTCACCATGAGAAAGCGGTTAGGAGCAGGCTTTACTGCTGCCCTATAGGACAACTGAAGTGCTGGTTTCACAATGTAGACCCCACACCCTCATCCAGTTGCTGGTCTCCACCTGGTTCCTGCCTCAGCGCACCATCAGCTTCATTCGTCATCTGGTTTACACAGGCCTGCAAGATAGGGGTTGTAATCTACACATCCGAGGTTCAGAGAGGTGAAGGGATTTGCTGAGGGCACAGCTGAGATGTAGCATACCTGAGGTATCTGACTCCGAAGCCGTGCTTTTTAATGACTGTAGAGATGCTCCCTACCCCTCCCTGGTCCAGAGCGTACATCTTAGGCTGCTGCTGCTGTAGCTTTCTCCCTGACAGGTTAAACATGGCTGACTAGTGCTAGTGAGTCCCCACTGAAGGAAAAAACCTTACACTAATATGGTGCTTTGAATGGTGGAATCCAAGCAATACAGACAATATGGGGCCTCTTCTGGTACCTCAGAAGTCAACAAAAGTGGCCACATATTCAAAGACTCCCTGTCCTAGCCCACACCCAAACTCGCAGAAGGGAATCACGGTACAAAAGAGCACACCACGCTGTTGACAGAAGGCAGGTGTGGTGTATACAGACCCAGCTGGGCCTGGAGGCTGGGACTCCCAAAGGCCACATAGGCTGCAATGCTGTAACCCTGAAATCTAAGTGAATTCACCAAGCACTCGCACACCAGTGACAGTCCTCACAAGCAGCCTTCGAGGGATTATGAGCTCTGTTTTACTGACAAGATAGGCAGTAACATCCAAGAGGTCAGTGGCAGGGCTGGGAGCAGAACTCAGGTCTGCTTCCCAGACCACACTGCCTAGAGGCAGCCCAGGACCCACTACACAGACAAGGGAGTGGACACTGGCAAGGTAGAAAGCCATTTTCATCACAGTCCTTTGTGCTGCCTCTCTAAGCGGGACGGTTCTGAGAAATGGCCTTCAAGGTTCTGACAGATTTCCACTGAGCCTTGTCTGACTTGACACAAGTGTTCTCTGTATTTCTGTTTTCCTGAGTATAATGTGGCCATGTCACACTGTAGAGACTGCCCCTTCTAAAGATCATGTGTCATGAGAAATGGCAGAGCTGGAGACGCAGGCTACACAAAACTGCCCCACACTATTAAAGTGGGAGCACAGAAGCTCTGAACCCTCAGGGACCTGGCCATGCCCAGAGTTAGGACAGGGACCCTCTGCTCCACAAGAACTATATGAAGGTCGTCTCCCTCCAACACACTCTCCTGGGTGTAGCTGGAGGATAGGAAATAAATCTTTATTATTTCAGTTTAAAAGTCCCAGGCCATCCCATTCTCATGTCACATCCGTGCAATGGGATGGCTCCCCTGAACAACCTGACACTGTGTGGGGTAGGAGTGGGGTAAGGCCCAGCTAGCCTTCTCCCCCACCCCCACCCCCACTCCAGCCCTGAGCCCACCAGTTACGTCAGCAGTGCCTGGCGCAGTATCTGCTTCTTCTGGGGGGTGAGGCGGGTGGGGAACTGGATGTCAAAGAAGATAAAAAGGTCCCCCTTCTTGGTTGGGTCCTCTGGCAACGGCATCCCCTCACCTGGCACCTTCTTGAAGTACTTGGGACTGAGATGGGAGGATGAAAGAATGGAGTTTAGAGGGTACTCTCAAAGCAGCACATCGACAGGTCCCATGCCACCCTTGCTTACATCACCCAGGCACAGAGTAGTCACCACAGTTTCCACTACGTGGTGGCTTTTTTCAACCAAAACTGGATGGGAGGAGAGGAGGCTGGTTTGTTCCAGACAGCTTGCTCCCTGAAAACACTTTTACACTCTCTGGTGGAAGACTCCAGAAATCTCCTTTTAGATATGGGAAACAGGGCAAGGAAGGAGGGAAAGCGAGCAGCCTCTGGGGTGAGGGTGGGGAGTGCTGGGCTGCTGAGCAAAGCTTCCTTTGCAGGGGACCTTTCTTGGAAAAGGGCTTAGTGGAATCAGCTCAGAACTCTAACAAGAGGCTTTGGAGGATGGGAGATGAAGGCAACAAGAATTGCCCAGCACTGGGAGCCTCTAGCCTCTACAGTGGTTTCATGCAAGTTAGAAAATGGACCTCCATTTGCAAGGCAAATGCAGCCCACAGCTTGGGCAGAGTTGGGGCTGGGTTTCGGTTGTGCTGGGTGCAACCTATAGTAGGCCAAACTGACTGATACTACCCTCTATGGCTCAGGCCAGCTGTTCTGCCTACTGGTACCCAAGCAGATGGACTCACTGGATGATGTCATTGATGGGGATGTTGAGCAGACGGTCATCTAGGGTCCTCACCTCCACGGTGCAGCAGGTCAGAGCCTAGGGGACAGTAAGGCTGAAAGTGGGAGTGGGGAAGGTCCCCATGGCCATTCTGTTTAGAAGGTACTTTATGATCCTCTTCTGTGCTAGGCCCTGAGCTGGGCCTCAAGGAGACAAAAAGATGCTCAGGGACTGACAGGTGGGTGAGCCAGACAATTACCTGCCCTCAAGGAGTTCAGTCTGGTAGGTAAGACTGACGTTGATATGTGTTTTGATAGAGGGAAGTAAAGGGGTTGACAGGAGCCAAGGAGGGGCCCTCAAACCATTCTGGGGTGGGGCAGGAGGCTACACAGTGCTGGTAGCAGTTGATGAGGGCTTAAAGGGTGAGAAGGAGCTTGTCAGTTAGACAAGGTAGATAGACAGCACTCTAGGCAGAGGGTCTGGCATAAACAAGAGAACAATGGTGTGAACAAAGGAATGTACCCAATGGGCACTCTAAGTGGCACAGTGGCTGGAGGGCAGGGGCTGAGATCAGTAGGGGCCAGATTGTGGAGGGCCTCAGATATTTACACAGGAGTGTGGAGTGGGCAGATGAGTGTATGAAAAGATGCCTGTAGGCAAGAGCCTGGAGGAGATGAGCAGGGAGGCAGGAGAGCCACTGAGGTCTGCTGCACAGGTCCAGGTGCTCAGACCCGGATGGCCGGGATGAACAGACGGGGACCAAGTGGAGAGAGATTTGAAGGTGGAATTGACAGGATTTAGTGACTGTAGGTGGGGTAGGGGAAGAGAATCAAAGTCTAGGCTGGTGCTCAGTTTCTTGCTTGGATTGTGAGGGTGTGGAGGAGCCACTTATGCTCAGGAGTGAAGATAGCCATGAGGATTCTGTGTGGCACTCATGTCCTGAAGGCTGTGCCTTCACTGGGGTGAGTGGAGAGTGAGGCCCTACTTGCCTTGGGGCCTCCCATGGGTGGGGGAAGGAGGGGTTTCACTCTGATCCGCCCACTCCCTGCTCTTCCACTTTGGCCACTCACCTTGCCCAAGGGGATGCATTTCACAAAAAAGAGGTTGTCATTCTCCCTGCGGAAGTGAGGGTGTAGCTTCTCCTTGACAATGAAGATGATGTCAGCTGGGATGATGTTGGGGCCCTGTGCAGAGGAGGCCAAGCGGTGACAAGGACTAATTGGCTGTGTGACCTTGGCCAAGGTCCTGCCTCTACTGGTCTCCATGTCTTCATCTGAACAATGAGGAGATCAGACAAGGTGTCCTGGAAGGACCTTTTCAGTTTGGTCCCATAGCCTCTCCTCTGAGAAGACTACCCAGATGAATCCTGTGCCCCCACCCACCCACTACTTCTCCTCTATTGAGCATGCCCACATTGATGGACTCAGCCCGAAGGGGGCAGAGGCTTCCTTAGATGGTGGGTGGAACACTGAGCTGGGTGTTCTGTAAAGTCCCTGTCCTGCCAAGCTTCATTAAGTCACCAAAAATCTGCTGAGGTCTCTCCTGGGCACAGGATAGAGGAATCAGACTGGCCCCTACCTCCAAAGAGCTCCCAGTCCAGAGGAATAAACAGACATGCAATGAATCCTCAGCAGCCTCAAGACTGTGGTAAAGGGAACCCAGAGGCAGGAGCTCAGAGAGGTGAAGACCCAAGTGGGGAGGTCAGGGAAAGCTGCCCAGAGGGGGAGCATTGGAGCTGAGTCTTGAAAGGATTCTGGGGAAGTAAATGTATAGGTGAGAAAGTGGGCAAGAAATATTGGCAGAGAAATTAATCTCTCTAGGCTCCAAAGACAGATATCACTGCTTTGGACAAAAATTTTATATTTTTATTTAAATAAGTATTTAAAATTATTAATAAGTGGTTTCTGAGTAGCTCCTAATAGTTGGACTTTATTCAGAGAAACATTGAAGAAAATTAAGCACTAGAGTTAGGACTGGTTTCTCCTTTCAACTCTTGTGGTCTTGCCTTGGGCAATGTCCTCCCCTCTCTGAACCTCAGTTTCCCACTCTGCAAAATGGGGAGAAGCACTCACAGAGGCGTTGTGAGGCTCTATCTCTTGGAAGGGACATTAGGGATCATCTTACCCACTGCAGACTGGTCTCGGGCTCACAGGGGTAGGAAGAAGCATCGCCTCCTTCCCCCTCAGTCTTCTCACCACATGAGCCCAGATAACTGACCCTAGGACTGACCTTCAGCTTCCCTTCTTCTCACCTGGTCCCCTTCCTTCTCAAAGGTGATCCTTGTGCCCTGCCTCCAACCAGGCTTCACATCAATTGTGAGGATCTTGTCCTTGATGGTAGAGGAGTAACCATCCTCGTTCATCACCTGTAGTGGGATAGCAGGGGGAGGGGGAGGCTTGCTTAGGATTTCCCAACATGAAAGAAGCACCGAGGGATCTGTCCCCAGGCTCAGTCCTCTAGCAATGGAGAGAACCTTCTCTGAGCCATTCCCACTCCCACCCTATTCCACTGGAACCAAAAACAAGGATTCCAGAATGGCCCAGTATGTCGTAGGCTAGGGCCTGAGATACTAAGCAGCCACCATCAGTGGATGAAGCCCACAGCTCTAGCCCTAGAAATCACATGGCCCTGGCCACTAACAGACGCGCAGTGAACATGTACTCAGTTCCTCTCTCCCACCCCAGAAGCTCTAGCCCTGAGCCTCTGGCTGGTCTCTTAATCCAGAAGGTAGAAAGACATGGAGATCAACACACCTGAGCCTCACCTGAAGCATTCCCCTATTATGTCATCCATTCATTCCCCAATCACATGCCCAGATGGGTGCCATCTGTGGAAAGCATGGCTGCAGATGGCATCTCCTTTGCTGGGCAAAGCTTTGAGGAGCCCTATTCATGTGCTAGCACAGGGCTGGGCCATGGAACTGAGGGTTTTCCTCAGCCAGTCCCCTCAGCAACTGTCTCCAGGCCCATCCTCCGTTCCCACACTGTTCCTTCTTACTTATGTGGCATACATTTTGATGAAATTCTGGGGGTATAGCCTGAGAACGCCCAGAGGGCAGAATTCACAGGAGAGTTAAGGGATGTGACTGAGAACAAGAGAAAGATCCTCTCCCAGTTAGAAATTTTGCAGAGGAAATTTCTGCACTAGGAAAGAACTTGGCTAATATCCCCAATGGCCACTTCCAAACTTCAGATTCTAAAATTTTGCAATCCTAAGTCTCCGGATCTAAGATGGCATGATTCCATCAGAGATCATACCTGAGGTCTCTAGTTAGAGTCAGGGAGAAGTGACTGTTAGGGTTAGAGGGGGCAGGTGGTGGCTCCAAGGAGGAGCAAGGTAAGTACTTACCCTGCGGGAGATTTTTATTTTCTTGGTGCAACCAAAAAATAAGTCCTCCAGGGACAGGTAGAGGTCTCGTTCAATTGGGGGGTCCTGTTTCTTGACCCCTCGGCCCCGAAGCCCCCCAAAGTTTAAATCCACCTCATTTCCTTTTGCATCAAAAAATTCTGCAGGAGGTTGCGAGAGGAGAGGACCAAGAGAAATTGCATCAAGAGACATGGATTGATAGACACTCCCCACCCCACCCCTCCACCTTCAGTCCTCAAGCATAATACCCGGGTTCCCATTCTCACCTGGAAGAATCAGACAATTTAGGCCAAGAAGCTATCCTGAATTTCAGATCCAATGATTATCATCCCTTACCACTCTCCATTGTCTCATCCCTCTCTGTGAATATTCTCCCCCACTTTCCTGACTTCCTTTCCCCACTACTTGGGGAAGTACCCCCCCTCAACTCTGGCTGCCTCAGGAGAGGAATGCCCTCTGGAGGCAGAACCTGGTATTGCCAAATTGACTCCAGCTGTTTGCTTTTGGCGCAGAAGATTGTAGCATGCCAGTATTCCCTCCCCTCCCCTAGGCTCCACTCCCCCTCGCTGTCCAGCCCAGCCCAGTCTAAGACCACTGGAGACCCATGACTCAAGTCAGCAGCTGAGATGGGGGAGAGACAGGGTTTGTCCCTAACAAATCTGAGAAGTCACCAGCATACGCCCAACTCTTTTTTTCCTCAACTTCTTTTGCCCCTACTCAGCTCTTACACTCATCAGTCCGCCTGCTGCCCTGCCCTTCCATCCAGGGGCAGAGAAAGCCGCTGTCCCTTGATGTGCTGTGAAATCCTTTGGGCTTCAGTTTCTCCATCTGTGAGATGGAGTAATAGTGCCCGACTTGCCTTCCACCGTTAGGATTAGATAACACAATGATGAAAAAGAGGAGCTAAAACTTGCTGAGAGCCTACTAGGTATCAGGTGCTGTTTTCCGCTCATTACATTATTACCTCATTGGCTCAGAGGCCAAATAAAACAGTCCCTCTTCAGCTAGTAAATAGTAGAGTTGGAACTGAACCCAGGGCGATTTGACTACAGAACTTGTGCCCTTAACTACTACCCTAGATTGCTAGATGTGAAGCCCTTTGTAAACTGTAGAGTCAGGAGACATTATCATAATAAGATTTTCTGTACTTTGCCTCCCATGGTTAGTACCATGGAGTGAACTTCACAGGCTTGATGGTGCAATCACCTTAGGCTGAGGAGGTCAAGGTGGCATCATGCTATGTCCCCCTGAGATGTGATGTGTAAATGAGAGGCCTGTGAATTACCTGGTCCCTCTTGCATTGCTGAATTCATTTGTTCACCTAGCACCTATGGTATGCCGGGTCTTAGACACCCCATTAACCAGGTCACAGACAGCCCAGCCCCTTGACTCTGCAGGGAAATGGGACACAAGAACCCCTATGGTGAATCACTGTAGTAGTATAGCTCCTGGGCCCTGCTTAAGGGACCATCAAACCCTGAACTTGACCTTCTGTAATGAGCAATGCCCCTGTACACTCTGGTTTGGCTCCTCTAAGCTGTCTCTTTTCCATGTACCCATCCCTGGCAGGAATAAGTCCACTCTAAGACATTTTTCTGACTGCAAAGTCCTTTTCATAAACATTATCTCATTTGATAATGACCTGTGAGCAATGGAATATTACAGCCATTAAAACAGTGAGAAAGCTGAGGTTTCAGAGAGGTGAAGAGATATGCCCAGGATCACACAGTTCATAAGTGGCAGTGCATGGATTCGAAACAGGCCCTCTGAATCCAAGTCCCTTGCTTTCCCCAGTTGCACATGGAGTTTATAAACTCGGCTTCCTCTGGCAGACAGGTGAAGGCAATGAACAGTAGGAGGTGTCTCTCAGGTGGAGGCGCAGTGGGCTATATAGCCCACTTCTCATAGTATCATTGAAAAGAGAGAACTTTAGAAATGCAGAAAGGCTGTAGTATAGCCAGGAAGAAAGGGGCTGGGGGAGCCAGGTAGTGAAAATCTAGCCTCTGTTGAGTTGCATAACTGAAGCCAGGAAGACAGGTCTAAAAGGTTAACTGTCCTTGCAAGATGATTCTGAGCCTCAGAAATTAACTCTTTATCAGTCTATCTGGGACCTAGGATCATCCACCCATCCATCCATGTACTCATCTGACTAACACACACCTGTACAACAAAATCTTATGCAGCCATTAAAATGAATAAAGTAGATCAGTATACAATATAATAAATGTAAAAAAATCAGCATGTAGGGCCGGCCGAGTGGCGCGATGGTTAAGAACTCGCTTGGGATGCCAGAGGACCCCGGTTCGGATCCCACATATGAGGGCCAGTGACACTGCCCTCTACAGCTAAGATGCTGAACAACGGCTCAACCTGGAGCTGGGCTGCTGTGTGTCGCCGGCGACGGCGTGGGCTGCAGTCCCTGTGGCAGTGGGTTGCCATGGGCTACCGTGTATAGCCAGCAGCCAGCGTGAGCGGCCATCCAGAAGCTGGTGACTGATCTGCCTCACCCGGGAAGAGCGCAATGATGGTGCCAACTTGGGCCAGTGAAGCAACATCCTCCACAACTAGACTGAAGAACAAAATGACAGCAACTTGTCTGTCCCCCTTCCCCCAATTCCCCAGCACTGTTCCCATCCCCCCAATTCACCAATAAAAATCTTTAAAAAAAAGAAATCAGCATGTACAATGTGGTCCCATTTCCTTAATGAAATAAAAGGCTTATGTAAAAATAAATATTTGCTCATAAATATATAGAATATTTCTGGAATAATACATAAAATGTTAACAGTGAGTGGCTGCTTCTGGAGAAGGAATTGAGGGTGAGAATTTATTTCTTCCTTAATAAATTATTATTATTATTACTTTACCATGTAATATATATATGGAAAAAAAAAACTTACTTAAAGAAAAGCATCTTTACAGCTACGTCTTTTCCCAGTAAAGCAAGGGGGTAAGTAAGACCTCTTACCATCAAAGGGATTGTCTCCTCCGAAGAATTCATGGAAAACCTTTTCAGGGTTGCCGTGAAAGACATAACCAGTTGTCCATGGGGTCTGGGATCCAAACTCCAGAGGAATCCCGCCCTTCAGACTCTCCTCTCCAAACTTGTCATAGATGGCTCTCTTCACAGCTGTGAATATATGTCACCTTGAGAAGGGGTTGAGCCTTGAGGGCTAAGATAGCTGGAAGGCTGGGAAGAAGGAGGATACGGGGAAGAGCATGGGGCAAAAACAGCCTTATTTCTAAAGTGTATGCTGTCTGGCAGTCTTTGGAAGGAGAATCTAGAAGTTAGGGGTTTAACTGTGGGTGGACCTAGGTATGGACCCATAGCCCAGAGGAGAGATGGGGAAGGCTGAGGCTTGTTTGGGGATGGGAGGGGATTGGAGTAGGAATGGAGAGGTAAGGATCAGGCAATCCTTCTGGGATTTGGCTTAACCCAGTCATCATAGCTGCTATCTTATCTGGGGGTAGATAGAATCCTAGAACCTTGAAATTTTAGAATCTAAGAATTCTAGAGCTTCCAAATTCTAGAGCTTTTAAATTCTAGAGTCTAAAGTCCTGAAAACTCGGGGCTGGAAAAACCTTAGTGATCTGGCCATTCTCCAGCACGGTGTCCTTGATTTACAGTCTCTGGGATAAGCCTTTAGGGAAACCCACGTGGGCACTGCCCCAGGCAGGAGTGGAAAATCATGTTCCCCACTTTATGCATGCTGTCCTTTGGGGAAATGGAAATTTAGCTACTTAGTAAATCTGGCGGGAACAACCTGGGTCTCAACCTCAGCCTTCTTCTCTTGGAAGAAAGCAGTGAGCTCTTTCCATCCCTGCAGGGGACAGGTGGGGCGTGGGGGGCGTGGGGAGACCTGCCAGCCCTGCCTTGAGCAGCCTGGGTGAGCACATCAGCCTGATCCGGGCATGTTCCATGCCATGTCTTCCACCTTAGCTTGTGTTCTACTGAGAAAGGCAGTTCTTTGTCCCTTTTCTTTCTAACTTTGTTTCAATTCTGCTTACTCTGTTAGGGCCCCTCAAAAAGCCCAACATTCAGAGACTTAAAGAATGATCTAAATGGAGAGTTGGGACAGGGGAGGTGTGCTGGAGTGAACTCTCCAAGCTCAGCCCCAGTCACTCACGGTCACTCAGCACATCATAGGCCTCAGCTATTTGCTTGAATATCTCGACTGAGGATGGCTCAGCGGACTTCAATGGGTGGTTCTTAAGAGCAAGTTTCCGGTACCTAGAGGAGGGAGGGTTAACACAAGTCATAGCAGCTGACATGTTCCTGAGTGCAGACCATGGTTCAGAGCTGGCTCTGCTGTCCATTGCCTGGTGGCCTCTCAGAGATTTGATGTTCCCAGCGATGAATCAGGACTGTGGTGGTCAGGGTGCACATTCCCTTGAAGAGAACCCAGTGCAGGGAGCACAGCTTGACAGCCCCAGTGGCTGTCCTCTTGGGCATTTGTGCTGAGGCTACACCTCCCCTGTTCCCCCACACTCCAGCTGTTCCCAGCCAGTGCCTATTAGTGCTGGCCCACGCCAGCAGGACACAGGACTCATCCAACACGCAGCCTCTGCTTGAGAACTCCCCACCAGCTTGGCTGAGATTTTCTCTAGAACACTCTGCAACCCTCACTTGCTATCTCCTCTCCACTCTCCCATGGGCCTCACAGACTCAATGAGCCCAAACATAAACACATTTTCATTTCCTAATTTCTTCCCCATTTGTCCAGCACTGCACCCAGAAAGCTGAGTATTTGGTTGACTCCAAGTTCTCCTTTGTCCCTTCCATCCCCACTCCATCATCACCAAGGCATATCAGTTTTTCCTTCTAACTAAAGTTCTGTTGTTCCTGCCTCTTCATCCCTACAACTATTGTAGAATCAGTTCTTCTTGTTTCCAGTTTTCCCTTCTCCCATCCATTTTGTGTGCTGCTGTTGGATTGATCTCTCTTTCTTGTTAAATTGTTGCTTCTAAAATGCTTCCTGACCAAGTCATTCTCTTGCCTAAATCCTTCACTGGTTCACCCTTCGTCTTCAGCCTAAAAGCCAAATGTCTGTAATATTCAAGCCCCTGCTCCTCTCTCTGGTAATTTTAATTTGTTCACAGAAGGAAGCAAGCACAATGTTTATCTACCCTGCCATCTTGGATCTCCCTCCAGAATTTTTTATATAATGTTCTTTGCTCTTACCACGATAGTACCCAGTACCACCAACAGAATCACTGGCTTTGAGTTCCAGTGCTGGGGCAGGAGCTGGAGAAGCGGCAGGGACATACGGTGGAGAACTGAGTTGTCTGGCTTTGGGATGGAGGGACAGCTTTCTCCCTGGGCTTATCTTTCTGCATTCCAACTGCCCTCCATTTGTGACTTTTTTCTAGATGGGTCCCACTGTCCAATATAATGATCTGAACAATAGGTAGCATCACACACTCTCCTAAATTGTTCTCTAATTATTTAATGAGTTCGTGTTTTGTTTCTCCAAAGATGCTATAGACTCTCTCCACTTACCCCATTTAGATCCCCTACAGGAGCAGGCCCATGGTAGGCAACTATAGTAGGCACGGTGTCTGAATACTGGCTCTGCTGTTTACTAGGCAGGTGACCTTGGCACCTACCTCTCAGGGTTGTTGTGAGGATTAAATGAACTAATGATAAAAGGTTCTCAGAACAGCAACTGCACAATTTATTAAATATAGTTATTATCACTATCCAACCTTAACTAATTGAATTAACCTAGATTCCTCCCTTTTTCTTTACCCTCCAATGATCCAATTAATTGCCAAGTCCATTCTCTCCCCTCTCACCAGCCCACTGCCCTACTTCATGCCTCATCTTTTGCCTTGATTTTCATGACATCCTTTGAAGAGAGACCCCTTCCAATAGAAACTTCCACAGCACCCTGTACTTCCCCTTTTGTAACACTCATCACACTTGTGACTTATTCAACACCTGTATTCACCAACAAAGTTGCATCTCTAAGTCATGATTATATCTCCAGCTGCTATAACTGCACCTAACCCATATGGTAGTTGTTCAATAAATATTCATCAAAAAATCTTTTTCAGAAAAAAACGCTTACTCCTGTCCTGGACTTTCTTAGAAATGGACCACAAAGTCCCTAAGACTTGATACAGTTTATTCAATACCAAAACCCAATGTGATGGCCAAAAAAAACTTGTAACACATCCATCTGGTTAGGTCACTCTCCTATTTGCAATCCTTTGGTTCTCCATACTCCTCAGAATAAAGTTCAAATATCTCCTTTGTCCCCATTTCATTGCTAGGAAAACCAGGGCACAGATTAGAAACCCTGACCCAGCCCAAAACCTAGACGTAGGTGTACAAGAAGCAAGAGAATGAAAAAAGTTTACTTTGCCTGCCCTAAATTGTGCAGAAAAGCTCAGTTTGGAAGAGATGAGGGTGGGGCCTGCCCCAGCACATCCCTCAAGCCTTGCTCTTGCCCCAACTTACGCCTTCTTGATCTGGGCATCCTCTGAATTACGAGTGATCTGGAGTATAGAGTAATAATCCTGACCCATGGCTGGCTGGCAGTAGAGCTGTTAGTCTGCATTCCTTGGTTGTCCGGACAACTGTACAGGGGCACTCTGGGAGTTGTAGTCCTTGCCTAAGCAAACCACGTTCTCAGCTCTGCCTTACAGAAGAGCAAATGAAAGGATAGGAAGAGCTGGGGCTGATTTTGTGACCCTGATAAAGGTCATTCAACTCAAAAACCAGAGTTTTTTTAGGAGAGTAGCAATTAGTGTAATTTAAAAATTTTCAGAACAAATACATTTCACTGTTTAAAAAATATTTTAGATTTTCAGACAAGTTGTGAAAATAGTACAGAGTTCCCAAATACCCCACATCCAGTTTCCCCCATTAATATCTTCAATGAGTATGGTACATTTATTACAAATAATAACCAACATTGATCCATCATTTATAAGAGAAGTCCATTATTTATTCAGATTTCCTAGTTTTTTTAAAAGATTTTTTATTGGGGAATTGGGGGAGGGGAACAGCGGTGGGGAATCAGGGGAAGGGGAACAGACAAGTTGCTGTCCTTTTGTTGTTCAGCCTAGTTGTGGAGGACATCGCTTCACTGGCCCATGTTGGTATTATCATTGTGCTCTTCCTGGGTGAGGCAGATGGGTTGCCGGCCTATGGACGGCCACTCATGGTGGTTCTTGGAAGCTCACACCGGCTGCCAGCCACTCACGCTGGCTGCCAGCCACACACAGTAGCTTATGGCAG